ATGTCTTGGAAAGTGTGCAGCCAGAGTGCTCTTTGGAGGAAAGAGTGAGGAGACTTTGCTTCACATTCTTTGGACACGTTGCTGAGAGATGCCATTATTTGTAGAAGGACATGATGTTGGGAAAAGTGTAGGGTTGATGAAGGAGCGGAAGACCCTCCAACAGGCGGATTGACACAGAGACTGCCACAATGGGCTCTTGTGTGAGAGGAAGTGTGAGGTGGTGCAGGACAGAACAGGGTTCAGATCTTTTATTCATAGGGTCACTATGAGTCATGCTCAACTTGATGGCACCTTACAACAACAACAACTGCAGAGAAAGATCTTCTGGGGCCATTGAAGAGGAAATAAGAGAATGTAGGATGTTCTTCTTGCTCCAGAAATACCTACAGCAGCAACACATATGCCTGAACTAGAGCTCTGATGTGACCTGAGGGCGCGAGGGGCAGGTGAAGTCAATCTTGGCAGGACTGAGAACTTGGGAATACTGGCCTGAAGCCATGAGGCTCAATGCTGAGGTGCTTGCATGTACATTTCAGGAGTTGTCTGAACTGTATTGTTATTAATCTGGATTACAATTTCTTTCCTTCCCCAATATGGTTCTGTGTGGTCTGTGAGCTATCCCATTGGAGTTTGAACCCAGCAAAGTAGTAAGATTCATTAAGATGAGTAAACAGAGCTAACAGAGGGTGTGGGATATGTCTGACCTCGTGGGAATTGGTTCTGTGTTACTGATGGTGTTGACAGGGACAGTTCCCCTTTGTGAAGGTGGTAAAGGTCAGATGTAGCCATATTCATGTGGCACTTGCTCTTTTTACAACTGGCAAGAGAACAAATAGGTCAGTACTGGACAAGGTGACATGAGGTTGCTACTTGGAGGCAAGGATTGTGAAGCTCTGTCTCACATAGTTGGGGCATGTTTCCCAGAGGGGCCAGTCCTTGGAGGACATCATGCTTCGAAGAACGGAGGGACAGTGAAGGAAAGGAAGACCCCGGGTGAGATGGATTGACACAGTAATTAGGGTAATGGGAACATGAATGCCGGGGTCAGTGAGACTGGCTCCGGACAGGGGAGGGTTCAGAGGTGCTGTATATAAGGTCGCTATGAGTCATGAACAACCTGCATGATGCAGATTAACACAACCCTGCTTGCTGAAACTGAGGAAGACCTGAAGCGCTTGCTGCAGAAAGTCAAGGATTGCAGCCTTTAATATGGATTGAAGCTCAATGTCAAGAAAACAAAGATTCTCACCGCTGGGCCTATTGGCAGCATCAATATGGATGTTGAGATTGTTAACAGTTTTAGTTTTAGTTTACTTGGCTCCACAGCCAACACTCTTGGTACTAGTAGTCAGGAAATCAAGAGACGAATTGCATTGGGAAAGTCAGCTATGAAGTACCTCTTAAGAGGTGCGCCTGATTTGGGCTACAGTCTTCCCAATTGCGTGCTATGTATCAGAGAGTTGGACTGTGACTAGGGATGATAGAAAGAGAATTGATACCTTTGAGCTGTGGTGCTGGAGAAGAGTGTTGAATATACCATGGACTGCTAGGAGAACAAACAGGTTTGTCCTAGAGAGAGTGAAGTCAGAATGCTCCCTGGAGTCAAGGATTCTGAAGCTTCATCTGATATACTTTGGGCATGTTGTAAGGAGGGACTGGTCCTTGGAGAGGAACATCATGTTTGAGAGAGTGGAGGGATGGCCAGGAGAGGAAGACCTTTGATGAGATGGATCGATTCTGTGACAGGAGCAGCTTATCCAGGATCTCCGGGTGTACTGGCAGAATTTCTGGCCAGAAGGTCAAGGTCCAAATACCAACCCAGGTGGCAGCACCTGGAAAGGAACGCTGCTTCTCTGCTGCACACTTGCTTAGATACTCCCAGGCGAGGTCTGCATCTACACACACCCGGCCCACCGTCATCGGTCACTGACCGATGACACTAACTCTCCAGGTCAGCGGACCCGGGGATCCCAAATCCCGCCAACCTGCAGGGAAACAGGCTAGACCAGCCATCCTCCCACAAGCCCCTTCGCGGGCTCAAACCTCCCGCCACCGAACGTCACCGTCAATCTGCTATTTGATTGGCTGGCCTGGGATGACGGACAGGGCCTCCTCCAACCACCTGTTACTTCTCTTTCCCGAGTGACTCCCCCTACGGCAGGCGCGCAGGGACAATCGCCGCATTTGACCTCTGCGCGGTGGTCCGGCAGGCAAAGATGGCGGCGCCCAGGTGCTGGAGGCTGGGCCTGCGGAGCCGGGGTCTGAGTGTGCACACCGCGGCCGTCGAGGTCGAGGTCGAGGCCACGGCCGCCCCTGCTGCCCGCTACCCGCCCGTCGTGGCCTCCCTCACGGCCAAGAGCAAGGCGGCGCGGCAGCGGCGGATCGAGCGGTGGCAGGCGGCGGCGCACGCGGCCGGCTCGGTGGACGAGAAGCTGCGGATCCTCACCAAGATACAGTTCCCCAAATACGTGGTGTACCCGCAGACCTTCGCGCGCCACGCCGACCGCTGGTACCAGGCCTTCACCAAGACGGCCTTCGTGGCGGGGCTGCCGGGACCCTCGACCCCGGACCCCGCGATCCCGGGACCCTCGACCCCGGACCCCGCGATCCCGGGACCCTCGACCCCGGACCTCGCGATCCCGGGACCCGCGATCCCGGACCCCGCGCCCCCCGACCTGGCCGCCCTGCGCACCGCCGTCACCCACCTCCTCCTGCAGGAGCACCTCCACCTGCAGCGGCCCCGCCGCGCGCCCCTCTACCAGAACCTGGAAGTCGTGGTTTCGCCCTTCCTCGACCAGCTGGTGGCCACCCTGGTGGGCCTGCTGGGTCCGCACAACCCGGCGCTGCCCACGGCCGTCCTCGGTGAGCGCACGCCCCCACCCCACCCCGGCCGGCCTTCTCCCTGCCAGAACCCTCTGTCCCCTAGCACGTGGGGGATGGAGATCGGAGCTGCAGTCCAGAGTCAGCACCGGTCAGGGGCTCAGGACACGTCTTCCGCTGGGACCTCTCCCAAGGACTGAGGCGCAGGCATGTCAGTTGGCAGACTAACAAGGGCCTGATTCAGGTCATCGTCTTCACCTGCTGCCCATCTGAGAGGTGAAAACGATCAAAGACGGAAGGGAAATTGAGGCCTTTGAAGTGTGCTGGAGAAGAGTGCTGGGTATCCCCTGTACTGTCAAAACGACCACTGACGCGTCCTGGACAAAGTGCAGCCAGATATTCCTTGGAGGCAAGGATGGGGAACCTTCCCTCATCCTTTGGGCATGTTGCTTGGAGAGGTTATTCCTTGGAAAGATAGTCGTTGTTAGGTGCCATCGAGACACCTGTGACTCATAACGACCTCGTGAACAACAGCTCTGAACCCTGCCCTGCCCTGAGCCAGTCTTACCGACTGACACCCTGACCCCCATTGCCCCAGTCATTGTATCAGTCCTCCCTGCCTGTGCTGTCCTTCCACCCTTCCAAGCAAGGATTGATCCCTTCCTGGCCAGATGCCCAGTGTATGCGAGACTGTGCAAAAGAGAGGAAGACCCTCCTACAGGTGGACTGACACAGTGACTGCTGCCGTGGACTTGAGGGTGTCAGATTCTGAGGCTGGCACAGGGATAGGACAGGGTTCTGTGAGCCAGTTCTGACTCAATGACACAGCAGCAGCACCTGCTTGGGAGCTGCCTGTCTCAGGGGCAGTCACTGCGTTAGCCTCAGGACATTGGGTTTGGGACCTGCTGACTGCAGACCAGCTGTCCTTTCTGGCCTGGGAGCCTTCTTGCACCAGGACCCCCCAGACCTTTGACGTGCCACGGAACAGGTCAGGTGAATGCAAGACTGCGGCAGATCCAGAGTTGGCTTTTAAACCTGAAAGTGTACCTGTGTGTGCACAGTTATTAACTTCGTGTTCGTATATACACACGTGTGCCCAATCAGCAACATCGTTTACCCTCATTTTCCTTATTTTTGGAAATGTGGATTGCCGTAGTAGTATTTCATCCTAAATTGTAAAGATTAAATGCAGGACAGGCCTTAGTACCCCAAGTAGATAATTCAGTCCTCACCATTGCTTTAAAGAAGGAAGAATTTAAAACTTGAGGTGCAGGAACTTTTAGGCTACCTATCTGAACTCGGAGCTACTGTGTTTGACATCCAGGAATCACACGAAACCATTTTGCATACCTAGAAAACGGGCAGCTGTTCAATGCAGACATAGTATTAAGAGATGGACCATTGTAAAAATCATTTTTGCTGGTTCCATCATAACTTTGTCTCTGCTATCCAGTTAGGTGTCTTCTAGTCAACCCCAACTCGTAACCCTCTGGACCGCAGGCGGAAGGCTCATCCAGCTCTGCACCATCTAACCGTGTCTGCTGGACTTAAGGCCAGCATTTCAATCCCTGCATCAATCTGTCTCGTTGAGGGTCTCCTTCCTCTGCCTGACACCCCACCTTGCCCAGCATGATGATGGTTCTTTCCAAGGACTGTTCCTCCTGAAAAACGTGAGCAGAATAGGTGAGACGAAGTTTCAGCATCCTTCCTTTAAGCAGCACCTTGAGTGCACTTTCTCCAAGATAGACCCATGTGTTCTTTTTGGCAGTCCGTGGTGTATTCATTACTCTGTGAGCATAACAGTGCCAAGACACTGATTTTTCTTTGGGCTTCGTAGTTTATTTTTTAACTGTCTCATAGAGGTTGCACAGTACAAGCTATTTGATTTCCTGACTGCTGCTTCCATGGGTAGAGATTGTGTGTCCAAGTAAAATGATAGAGCTGACAACCTCCAGATAACATGCAGTTGTTATTATGTGCCATCGAGTCCCTGGCAACTCATAGCAACCCTATGTACAGAAGCCAAAAACTGCTCTGTCCTGTGCCGTTTGCACCGTCTCTGATACACCCATCCTGATTACCCCAGTCACTGAATCAATCCACCTCATAGAGGGCCTTCTCCTCCTGTGCTGTCCCTCCGCCCTCCCAAGCATGATGTCCCTCTCGAAGGACGGTCCCTCCTTACAACATGTCCAAAGTATGTCAGACGAAGCCCCAGAATCCTTGCCTCCCAGGATCCTCCTGGTTTAACCTTCTCCAAGATGAATCTGTTAGTTTTCCTAGCAGTCCATGGTACTCTCAATACTCTTCTCCAGCACCACAGCTCAAACGCATCAGTTCTCCGTCTATCCTCCCTAGTCATTGTCCAACTCTCAGATGCATAACAAGTCATTGCAAAGACCATGGCCTGTATCAGATGCACCTTAGTCTCCAGAGAGGCACCATTGCTCTTCAGTACTTTGTAGAGGTCCCTAGCAGCAGACTTTCCCATGGCAATACGTCTTTTAATTTCTGGCTGCTGGTGCCAAGAGTATTGACTGTGGAGCCAAGCAAACTAAAGCTGTGAGTAGATAACATGCAGTAGATATCTTAATATATTTGTTGTTATGTGCCATCGAGTCGCTTGTGACTCATAGTGACCCTATGTACAAGAGCTCTAAACGCCATTCTATTCTGTGCCAACCTCACTGTCTTAAACACACTCATTCCCACCACTCCACTCACAGAATCGATCCATCTTATTGAGGGTCTTCCTCTCCTGCGCTGCCCCTCCACTCTCCCAAACATGATGTCCCTCTCCAAGGACCAGTCCCTCCTTGCAACATGCTCAAAGTATGTCAGACGAAGCTTCAGAATCCTTGCCTCAAAGGAGCATTCTGGCTTCACCCTCTCCAGGACAAACCTGTTTGTTCTTTTAGCAATCCATGGTATATTCAACACTCTTCACCACCACAGCTCAAAGGCATCAATTCTCTTTCTGTCATCCCTAGTCACTGTCCAACTCTCTGATTCATAGCATGTAGTTGCAAAGACTATAGCCTGAATCAGGCGCACCTTAGTCTCCAGCCTGATGTCGTTGCACTTCAGTACTCTTGAGAGGTCCCTCATGGCTGACTTTCTCAATGCAATTCATCTCCTGATTTCCTGGCTGCTGTTACCAAGAGTATTGATTGTGGAACCAAGTAAACTAAAACTGTTAACTGTCTCAATCTCTTCACCATCCATACTGATGCTCTGAGTTGGCCTAGTGGTGAGAATCTTTGTTTTATAAATGAGTTCTCAGCTGAGACTTCCAGTGTTCTGGTTCCTTCTGTTCTTAATTGAGCAGGAAACAGTGTTGAAGGAAACAGGAATTTTTGAATATTCTGAGGTACTAGACTGATGATCTGTGACGTCATCCTTAACCTTTCTGATCCTGGTTCCTCATAAAATGATGACAGCTATACTGTATTTACAACACACTTGGGACAAGCAGTCAGAAGATCAGGAGACACATTATTCTGGGAAAGTCTGCAGTGAGAGACGTCTCCAAATTACTGAGGAGCAATGATGTTCAGCTTAGGACTAAGGTGTGCCTGATTCAGGCTAGTCTTTTTCCAGTCACTTGCTATGCTGCTGAGAGCTGGACAGTGAGTAAAGATGAAAGAACAAGAATTGATGCCTTTGAATTATAGTATTGGAGAAGGGCAGTGAATATCCAGTGGACTCGCTGAAGAATAGGCAGGTATGTCTTCCACAAGGTGCGGCCAGCGTCCTCCTTGGAGGCATGGATCATAGAGCTTCGTCTCACGTTCTTTGAGCATGTTGCCCGGAAAAGCTCCTTATTGGAAAGGGACATACTAGGGAAGGTGGCTTAATAGCAGAAGCGAGGAAGACCCTCAGACAGACAGACTGGCACATAGTGACTGCAGCAGTGGGCTCAGATGAGTCAGGGATTTTGAGGATGGCACAGGACAGGCTTCAGATCTGCGCATGGGGTTAATGATGGTACCTAACAACAACAACAGTATTTACTTTTGGTAGACTCTGAAATAGCACTTTTCTCCAGCACCACAGTTCAAAGGCTTCAGTTCTTTTGTCATCTTTAGCCATTGTCCAACTTTGAGATTCAAAGGGAAACATTGACAGTATCGTGACTTGTATTGGGTGCACCGTGGTCATTAGGCTGAAATCCCTGCCCGTTAGCACTTTAGAGATGTTCTTGAGAGTCTACCTTCCCAAGGCCACATGTCTTGATTGCTTGACTGCCGCGACCGTGGATTTTGATAGTGGATCCAAGTAAAATGAAAGCTTTGCTAACTTCCCTGTTTTCTTACCCTATCAACAACGTTTTACCAGGATCCATCAGCACCCATTATAGATGGCCTGTGGGTTAGGAATTGTGCCAGCAACCCAAAGGCACAGCGTTCGGATACACCAGCTACTTCACAAGAGAAAGATGAGTGGTCTCCACCAAGTGATTCGCAGTCACTGGAAACCACGGGAGTGTCAGCTGCGAATCAGCTCTGACCTGCCACACGTAACAGCGGCACAATGTGATGGGTCCATTGTGAGCATTCTGTCGTCTCTATGTTAAAAAAACCTTTTACGATCTCTTGGTAGATTATAAACGCCCGGTTCACTTTTACTGGATTCGTGGTGAAGAAATAATCCCTCGTGGCCATCGGAAAGGTCGAGTTGATGCTTTGCGATACCAGATAGACGATAGACCGCACAACCAGATTCGCCTCTCCAAGCAGCTTCCAGAGGTGAGGAGGGGGTTTGTGTCTGTGTCTATATATGTCTGTATGACAGGAAACAGCATATAGGCAGATTAGATAGTAAGCTGTTATATTCAAGTTCTTTTGGCTGGACCTGTGTTCCCAAGTTTCTTTGATAGACATCTGAAATTTTTGCCGCCTCCTTAGTGCGGTAGGCAACGTGTCAGTGTCTCAGTGACACCTAAAATTTTCTGTCAGCTTTTTAATTGGCCGTGGCATATTGTGCTAAGGTCAAATAATAATACTAATTGGGGTGGTTTGCTGTTGTTATGTGCCGTCAAGTCAAGTTGCGATACGTAACAACCCCACGGACAGTAGGTCTGAACCGTGTCCTGTTCTATACCATCCTCGCTCTTCCTGACACAGTAACGCCCATGTCAGTCCACCAGTCCTAGGTCAGGCCACCTGCCGGAGGATCTTCCTCTCCTTCGCTGACCCTTTGTCTTTCCGAGCATCATGTCCCTCTCCAAGGAGTTTCCCCTCCTGACAGCATGCCTGAAGTATGTGAGGCGAAGCTTTACCTTCATTGCCTCCAGGGAGCACTCTGGCTGCATATTCTCCAGGACTTTGCTGTCTGTTCTCTTGGCCGTCCATGGGCTGTTCAGTGCTCTTCTCCAACACCACAGCTCAGAGGCACCGATACTTCTGTCATCCTTATTCGTTGTGTGGCTCTCCGATGCATAACAAGTGATCGGAAGGACTATGGACTGAATCGGACACATCTTAGTTCTCAAACTGACATCATTACTCCTCAGTAATTTGGAGACGGTCCCGAATGAAGGCTTTTCCAGCAATATGTCTCCTGATTACCTAGCTGCTTGCTGATACCAAAAGTGTTTATTGTGGAGCCAAGAAATAGGAAGTTGTTGACAGTTTCAGTCATTTCTCCATCCATCATGATGTTCCTGTCAGTCCAGTGGTAAGAATCTTTGTTTTCTTGACATTGAGATGCAATCTATATTGAAGGGTGTGTTCTTTGATCATCTGCAACAAGTGCTTTAGGTCCTCCTCACTTCTCAGCAAACAAGGTTGTGTCATCTGCATAACGCAAGTTATTGAGGCGTCTGCCTCTGATCTTGATGCCAGATTCTTCTTAAGAGTCCAGAATCTCAGTTCATTGGAGCGCAGTTCAGTGCGCCGGATTCCCGTTCTTCTCAATGTTAGCCATAACTTATTGTTACGTGCTATCAAGTCAAATACTCACAGCGACCCTGTGGAAGAAAAAAAAAGATCTGACCCCTGTTCTATCCTGCACCACCCTCACACTTCCTGACATATAAGAGCCCGTTGCAGCAGTCACCCTGTCAGTACACTTAGTTAAGGGTCTTCCTGTCCTTCGCTGACCCTCCACCCTTCCCAGCATCATGTCCCTCTCCAAAGACTAACCCCTCCTAGCAACATGCTCAAAGTATGTGAGGCGAAGTCTCATCATTCTTGCCTCCAAAGAGCACTCTGGCTGCATCCTCTTCAAGACATATCTATTATTTTGGCCGTCCATGGGATGTTCAGTGCTCTTCTCCAGCACCACAGCTCAAAGGCAGCAATTCTTTTTCTGTCATCCTTATTCATTGTCCAGCTCTCAGATGCACAGCAAGTGATCAGAAAGACTATGACCTAAATCAGATGCGCCTTAGACCTCAAATTAATACCATTACTCCTCAGTAGTTTGGAAGGGTCTCTTTAACTGCAGATTTTCCAGTTCAGTGCATCTCCTTATTTCCTGACTGCTGGTACCAAGGGTGTTAATTGTGGATCCAAGCAAGATGAAGCTGTTGACAGTTTCATCTCCTCTCCGTCCAGCATGACACTCACTGCCTGTTGGTCCAGTGGTAAGAATCTTTGTTTTCTTGATGCAGTGTCAAATGCCTTTGTATAATCAGTGAAGCATAAGTAGACATTATTCTGTCTGGAAAATTACTTTCAACCAGGGTCCGTTAGCAGTGATATCCCTGGTGTCATGGCCTCTTCTAAATCCTTCTCGAACTTCTGGCACTTCCACATCTGTGTACAGTTCTAGCAGTTTTTGATTGATCTCCAACAATATTTTACAAACGTGATATTGTTTGATAGTTTGCACATTCTGTTTGATCTCCTTTCTTGGGAATAGGAACAAATATGGACGGACCTCTTCCAGTCTGTTGCCAGATAGCTGTCCTCCACATTTCCTGACTTAGACTATTGATCACATCCAGAGCTGCATCTGTTAATGGAAACAATTCATTGATGTCCTATCGTCCCAGGGTCCTTATTTCTTGCCAGTGATTTTAGTGCAGCTTTGGCACCTGCATTACTATTGACACTATGTATGCCACAGCATGCTTCTGTTTTCCATTCCCAGCATAGCATAGCATATCGGGTGATTATCTGATGCAGAGTGGCCAACGCTGGTCCATTATATCTTACTTACGTCTAACATGTCAATGTCCGTGCATTCCATTCCGTTTTCACCAGTCTACTTTTCCAACATTCAATCTACCTACATTTCATGTTCCCATTACTAAAGAATGTTTGCCATGATTTTTCCTCGTCTTGAATGACTTGCAGTCTGGGCTCTCCCAGTAATATTATAACTTATCCGTGTTCCTCTACGGTTCCATAGTGTTTTCAGACTCCTGATGACCAGTTCTGCTTCCTAGTCTGTCTTAATCTGGAAGCTCTGCTAAAGCCTGTCCACCATGGGTGACCCTTATGGTATTTGACACAGCAGTGGCATAGCGTTCAGCATCACAGCAACCCACAAGTTATCTCCGTAAAACAAACTGACAAGTGCCGTACCAGCTGAATTAAGACATCAGTTTTCAAGACAGTAGAGATTTTTCCTTTCTCTTAGTAAACAAACTTTAGTACTCGTGTCTGATTGTTATTTACATGACTCGCACTTTGGGCATATTTTCAGGAGGGATTTGTTGTTGTTGTTAGGTGCTGTTGAGTCGAGTCTGACTCAGAGCGACCCTCTGAACAAGAGATCTGAAAGCTCTTCTCCTGTGTCATCCTCCCAGTGTCTGGTAACCTCAAGCCCCCGGTGCACTCGCTGTGTTGGATCATCTGATCGAGGGTCTTCCTGTCTTCTGCTGACCCTCCAGCTTTCCTGGAGGTCTGTCTCGTAGGAACGCCTAACTTCTTTGAGCACCATGGGGCCTTCTGGGAAGGCAGAGGGTCAGTGAAAGAGGCAGATCCTCAGTGAGTAGGACTGACACAATGACCGTAACAGTGGACTCTCACGTCAGAAACTGAGAAACGCAGGAAAGGACATGGTTCGGGTCTGTCATTCGTATGTTTGCGTTGCATATAGTCAGCTCGATGGCACCTAACAACAGCCTGTAAATAGTAACCAAGAAGTTAAGGAACAGACTGCAATGAGCAAACCTGCTGTCAAGTACCCCTTTGAACTCATAATCTGAAGCTGTGGGTTTGGGATTATTTTTGAAAGGATCCAGATTCACTTCATAGCAGTTGCCATAAGATGAAACCAACTCAGTGACAGTCAACAACATCACTGTGTTGTTGTTAAGTGCTTCCAAGTCGCAGGCGACTCATAGCGACCCTATGAAGTAGAGTCCTCAATGCTTGGGTGTCTTTCATCCTCTCTCCAGGTTCATAGGGTTTCTGGAGGCAAGCTATTAAGGAAGTGGATGCCACTCCTCCTTCCAAGCTTGTTTTCATCGGCGAGCTCCATCCCACTCTTTGTCTGCATTGGGTAACCAACCATTAACGCATTTGACACATCAGTGTCACAGTGTTCAGCCTCACGGCAACCACAAGTGACTGCTGTACGGCAACTTGTATACCAGGGCTATACAACCTAGAGGAATGTCTGAACAAAACAATGAAAGACAGGCCCGAGGGCCCTTCAGTACCTTACCATCCCGGCACACCCAAATGCTGGCAAACCCTGGACCCCCCCATCCAGTTCATCGGGCAAGTCTGCTTTGCCAACCCTCGCGTGAGGCAAAAAGAACACCACAAGTGACCGGAGCCCGCATACCTGCCAGTGCTCCTCAAGAAGCCAGAGACTGTGTTCAGCTGACACCGAATCTCCCAAGACCTTGGGCATGGCACGACCTTTCAGTATCTTACCATCCCGGCACGCCCAAATGCTGGCAAACTCTAGGTCCCAGACCCCCAGTTCATCCAGCATCACTCTAGGTAGTAAATTATGTGGGCACTTTCACAGAGAAGAGTTGAGCCTCTTAAGGATTTATTGTTCTTGCAGGAAAACAGCTAACATATTTTGAATGTTGTCTTTTATGTGTCTGTTTCAGATGTTAAACTTTTTTTTTTATATTGGTTTATTTACAAAGTTCGTATAGATTGTTTTTCACACCAAATCTTTTCCATTTCCTTCACGCCTCCTCCTGCCACCCACCAGATTGTGTGATCCTAAGATAAATCACCTCCACCCCCAGCCCTTCCTCACCCCTCTGCTTCCACCCTTCTCCCCCCTTGGATCCTCATGTTCATTCTACAGTAACGGTTTTACACAGTATTTGTCCTTACGGGACTGAGTTAGTTCACTCGGCATGCTCACTGCAGAATTATTCACCATCACAAGAACATGTAAACGGCCCAGATGTCCAAACACAGTAGGATGGATTGAGAAACTAGGGTCTATTCACCCAATGGAATACTACGCAGGAGCAATGATTTTGTAAATTACTGCCAAACTGGGAAGGAACAAAAAACAATAAAAAAAAAAAGGCAGACCGAATGCGTTGCTGTTGGGTCGACTGGCGCTTGTGGCCGTGTGCCTTAGGGTCTCAGCTGAGCCCACTGCCATGTCTGTGTAGCTTGACTGGTAGGTTCCAGCGCTGACTTTTCAGTCAGTGGCCAGTAACTTAACCCCTGCACCACCAGGGCTCCTTATTAAAGGCTCACTTGCCGGTGTTTTACTTTCCATGGGTCATTAGTTACATATTAGACCCGTTCAACTCTGCTGCTAACAGTGTAAGCAAATGTGGTTCAGTAAAACGTGATAAAAACAGATATTGGACACATTTGGTCCAGTATTAAATCAGCTTGTAAAAATACTTAATTTTATGGTTTTAAAATATCTAGTAGGAAAGTAATTACAATGCATACACATACTGCGGTGACTTCTCTGTTACTTCTTTTCTCTTCTTTTTAAAGTTTGTGCCACTAGATTATTCTGTTCCTGTTGACATCCCTGTTATGAATTGTAAGCCAGACAAACTTCCATTATTCAAACGACAGTATGAAAACATCATATTTACTGGTAAGTGCCTCTTGTCCTTTTTCTCTTGGTCTAAATTGTGTTCAGAGTGTTCTCTGTGAGTTGAGATCACTAGCTATTGTAATTGTTATATGCTGTCACATCAGCTGTGATTCACAGCCTCTCTGTGCACAGTAGCCCTGAACCCTGCACTATCCTGAGCCAGTCTCGCTGTCTCTGACACATGTCCCCCCCGTGTCTCAGTTACTGTATTAATCCTTCTCGTCCGGGATCTTCCTTTCCTGTGCTGTCCCTCCACCCTTTGAGCGTGCTATCTTTCTCCAAAGATTGGTCCCTCCTGGCCACGTGCCCAAAATAGGGAGACTGAGCCTCAAGACCGTGCCTTCAAGGAGCAGCTTGATTTCACCCTCTCCCAGACAAGCCTCTTTGTTCTCTTGGCAGTCCATGGTGTGTTCAAGACTCTTCTCCAGCACCACAACTCAAAGGCATTGATTCTTCGTCTGTCATCTTTAGTCATGTCTGGCTCTGTGGTACTTAGTAAGTAATTACAAAGACCATGGCCTGGATCAGGTGCACCTAAGTCTCTAGACTGACATCCTTGCTCTTCAGCACTCTGGAGAGGTCTCTGACAGCAGATTTTTCTAATGCAGTTTATCTTTTGATTTCCTGACTGCTGGTGCCAGGACTTGTGGAACTGAGCAAGCTGTAACTGTTAACAACCTCAGTCTCTTCTCCATCTATCATGATGCTGACAATTGGTGAAAATCTTCCTTTTCTTGATGTTGAGCTCAGTCCGTATTGTAAACTACAGTCCTTGACCTTCTGCATTCTGCAGTCCCTCCTCGTTTCAGGAAGTAAGGTTGTGCCATGTGCATATTGGAGGTTGATGATGAGTCTTCCTCCAATCCTGGTACCACATTCCTCCTCATAAAGTCCAGCCTCTCGAATGATCTGTTCTGTGTATAGATTGCAAAAGTATGGAGACAGGACACATCCCTGACACTATAGGGGAAAAGTATCACTAGATATAAAGAAAAATGAATTGATGATGGCCTAGAGATTCCTTCAGTTCACAGTAATAATAACGTGCATAGTCTGAGGCGTGAAAATTGGGAAGAAAATATTTATTCAGCTCTCATTTTTTAAATGTACTGAAAGTAAAAGAACATTTGCCAGTCTAATAGTTTGTACACGCAGAACTCAGAGACGTTGATTACATTCTCATTCTCCATCCTGTGCAACTGTCACTGGTCTTCTCTGAATTGTTCCACAAAAGTTAACGTAGGACAGTGGCCCCGGAGCAAAACGTCTCTCTTCCTCCTTCCCTAGCTGCCACTTATCTTCGTTTTCTATTTCTTTGTAAGTAAGTAGGATTTAACTTAAATAGTTAGGGTACTTATTTGACTTAATTCATTTGAAATCTAGGAAGAAGTTTGAAATTACACTGCTTAGCTCTGTATTTTGGCTGAAGCACCTTGTTTTGTGCTGCGCTCGGAGCTAGGAACGTTGAAGAGGGCCTGCGAGTTTCCTAGGCCGCTTACTCTTCTGTTGTTATAAATTCCTTCATCATTTCTAGCTGACTTGAGGAAGATTTTAAGGAAGGCCTTAGCCTTCCAGATTAATTTTATCAGCCCCTTCTCTGGCTTTGTGCTTTTAGGAAGTGAACTCTCAGACTTTCTCTTGAAAAGACTTTACCAGTAAAGTCAATTGTTCCTGAGATACTGGTCCTTGTTTGATTTACTTGTAAATGTGGTATAGAAGACTGTTAGGAAGGGAGCTCTGGTGGCCTAGCAGCAAGAAGCTGCACTGTAATCCTGAAGGTGTGTGGTTCTAATCCACCAGATGCTCTGCTGGAGAAGGAGGGACCATCTCCTCCTGTGCCAGTCAGTTCCGACTTGACGCACACAATAAGGGAAAAAAATGGCAAGACTGTTAGGAGCAAAGTATTTCCATTACATTGAAATGATAAGGGAGGTTTCCCTCATCAAGGGTTTGTGCCCTCCATTGACGACATTGAGGCAGGTCACCCAGCTTAGAGGATAATGACACAATTGAAGACTCTGAAATACTGCAAAATTTTAAGTTGTTGTTGTGTATTGTCGACTCGAAACCAACCCATAGCTGACCCTCCGGCAGGTTTTCAGAGGCAGTTAATCGTACAGGAGGAGACTGCCCATTCCTCTCCTGTAGAGGAGTGGTGGATTCGAACTGTGTGCCTTCGGGGTTGCAGCACACCTTCTTGCCACTGGGCCACCAGCCTTTCCATATAATCTTAAGATTTATCTCTGTGATAATGGGCCCAGTGACGGCCAGCAAATTGAGAAATTACACTTCCCAGACATTCTATTTTTGTGTTTTTATTACTGAGTGCATGATGTGCAGAAAGGAAAGATCCTTTGAAAAGAAATATTACCCGCATGGTGTTCTGTTCCCCGTGTGCGTCCATGTCAAGTGTTGGCTTTGCTTTCTAGGCTCAAAAACAGCCGATCCGTGCTGTTACGGTCACACCCAGTTTCACCTGTTACCGGACAAGTTAAAGAGGGAAAGGCTTTTGAGGCAAAACTGTGCTGACCAGATAGAAGTTGTTTATCGAGCCAACGCTATTGCAAGCCTCTTTGCTTGGACAGGAGCCCAAGCTATGTATCAAGGTAAAGCTGCCTGTATGATGTTAACTGTTCTTGGAAAGTTCCCCAGGCATTTTAAGGATGTGACACTTCATATTCTTTAGGTTTAAATGTAAGCTGATTCACTTTGAAAACTTTGGTGGTCACACAAATGACGTTGTTTTTAAAACTGCAGTGAAGTATTTTGTATTTGTAACTACCGGATGCACTTGCTTGGACTATTTCTGTGTACAAGTGTTTGCCCTGATCATTTCCGCAAGCATTTCAGTGGCTCTGTGGCCAAATACTTCACCTGTCAATATCAACAGCCTGCTGAAGGCATTCCTAAAGCTAGAAAGAAATAATAGGGTGGATTAAGTCATGTAAAATGAAATTTATCAAGGCCGTCCTGTGTCGTCTCGTCCAAGACTGCATCAAGGTGTGAATTAGGAGAGTGTTCATTCATTCATTCCATAAACCCTGCTTGCTCGTATGTCCCAGGGAAGCAGACATTTCTGAAGGACAAATGCACCTGAAGCTCACCTGAAGCTGAGGCCCCACGAGCTTAGGTCAGCCTCTAGCAGGGTGGAGCCTGTATACCATTCCGCACTGTCCTCCCGCTCCCTGACACCCACGAGCCCACTGCAGCACTCGCCGGCTCAGTCCACCTGGCCGAGGGCCTTCTTCTCCTTCGCCGACCCTCCACCCTTCCCAGCATCCTGTCCCTCTCCAGGGAATAGCCCCTCCTGGCAACATGGCAGGAATGTGAGGTGCTCCGAAGAGCGCTCCAGCTGCACCCTCTCTTTAACTGCACCCTCTGTTTGTTCTTTTGTCCACTCATACACCACATCTCAGAGGCATTAGTAATTGTTCTGTCATCCGTATTCTTTCAGCATAAACAGTCCATCTGTTGGCTAGGGAAGACAGTTTGGAATGATAAACCGGAGACCCCCAGAGCAGCCCTGCACGGTGCAGTGGGTGTACACAATGGTGCGGGGCCGGGAAGTAGCTCAGACACCCACAGTGCGTCTCACAGATGAGACCTGGAGATGTGCTTCCCGTGGTTTACAGCTTTGGAAACGCTGAGGAGCAGTTAGTTTATGTGGACGTGGCCTGGCACGTGCCAGGCTGCTGCTGGCTGCTGTCTTACAGAGGCAGGTAATCGGAGCCGTGGAGTGGACCGGAGCCGCTGGCCTTTCCAGTAAGAATGCTTTCAGCATCCCTCAAAGTCAAAACGGTTTGTACTAGATGATACAAAGTCATTTTTAACACAAAAATACAGCCTAGCGTTAGAATAAAGACAGTAGAAGACTGAGACCTTCTGGGCTTTGGTAGGTGAGAGGTCTGAGTTTGCGGCGGTGTTTGATGTGTTGTGCTGCGTTAGGTTTCGATCGTGTTGGTGAAATGTGTCTCACTCCCAGCATCCCTCTCTCTCGCAGGATTCTGGAGCGAAGCAGACGTCACCCGGCCGTTTGTCTCTCAGGCTGTGATCACAGATGGAAAGTACTTCTCCTTTTTCTGTTACCAGTTGAACACTCTGGCCCTGACTGAACAAGCTGATAAGAACAACCCTCGTCAGAACCTCTGCTGGGGGACGCACAGCCAGCCCCTCTATGAGAGCATCGAGGGTGGGGAGGTGAAAGGGTTCAACGATGCTGTGCTGCTGCAGCTCGTCCAGCTTCTGCTCAGCAGACCGAGAGAGGAGAGAGCACAGCCACCGGGCCACTAACAGGACGCGGGCAGCTCACGGGATGCGGGCAGCTCACGGGACACGGGCAGCTCACGGGACACGGGCGCTAACAGGACACGGGCAGCTCACAGGACACGGCTTCCTCACAGGATGCGGCTTCACGCTTGGGGTCCCAATAAAAGGACTGTTCCTACTGAGCCATGTAGTAGTCAGATACTCTCTTTTAAATAGTAAATTTTTAGTTGGTCACTACGCGTGCGACGTCTCGGCCTTCTTTGCAGGTGCATCCAGTGGCATCTCTTGTACAGTCGTCACTATTAGCGTTTCCCAGGTGTTCCCCTCCCCTTTCACGGCTCTGAGTCCTTCCCCCCACCTGCCCCTTCTATCCTGTTGTTCAGGATACTCAAGAATTGGTCATGATACTGAAGAGTGGAAGATCTTCACGACTGGGAGAAGTGACGCGTTCTTGCCAGGCCCATTGTATGTCTCCAGCGCTCCATCTAAGTTCACTCAGAACATCGTGCCACTTCACTGTAAGCTTTCAGTTCTCTGTTTTTGTGGAGTTTTCGTTTTGATTTCTTGTCCTCTTGTCTCTTCGCTCTCCTGTCCGTCCTTTGTTGGAAATGCCGCTCGAGTTAGAGGAGCTGTGCTAAGCTCCAAGTGAGGTGAGATCTCTTCGTCTTGGTTCTCACCTTGTCATTTAGTGAATTTGAGTTATCAGTTCTTGCCCTGCAGGCCTAGTGGTAAGAAGCTGAGCTGCGGCGAGCTCGGGCCACCTAATGGCAAGAAGCTGCACTGCAATCCACGAGGTTTGCGGTTCGAATCCACAAGATGCTCTGCTGGAGAGGGAGGGACAATCTCCTCCTATACCAGTCAGATCCGATTTGACAGTCCACACACACACAAAATTAAAAAAAGAAGCTGAGCTGCAATCTTAAAGGCACCCGGTTCGAATCCACCAGCTTCTGTGCGAGAGAAGGAGGGATAATTTCCTCCACGGCAGTTGACTGCCTCTGAAAACCCACCGGTGGGTCAGCTATGGGTCAGTTCTGACTTCAGGGCACCTAACAGCAACAACTGTGAGAAAAAATACGGATTCATCCTGGAGAAAGTACAGACAGAGTGCTCCGTGGAGACAGATAGAGCTTCATCCACAGGCTTTGGAGGTGTGTGTTGTTAGGAGAGGTGGCTCCTTGGAGAAGGACTTCGTGCTTGGAAAGGTGGAGGGAGGGCGAAGGAAAGGAGACCCTCAGTGAGATGGAATGACAGTGCCACAGTGGGCTCACCATACGGAGGGGACTGGGGACAGGACAGGACAGGATCGAGGTCTGTTCATAGAGTTGCTATGAGATGTGCTCAACAGCAGCTAACAACAACAGTAACTCTTGTGAAGCAATAATGTTACAAGGATGACAGAAGGACAAACAGATTCGTCTTGGAGAAAGTGCAGCCAGAGTGCTCTTTGGAGACAAGGTTGGTGAAGCTTTGACACACGTACTTGGGGCTTGTTGATAGAAGAGGCTATTCCTTGGAGGGACATTGTGCTTGGAAAGGTGGAGGGTTGGCAAAAGAGGAAGACCCTCAGCCAGATGGGTTGACACGGTGGCTGTGGCCTTGGGCTCAAGTGTGTCAGAATACGATGAGGACGGCACAGGGCAGGACAGGGACCAACCTGTTCACGGGTCACTAGGAGCCGGACTCTGCCTAGCAATGTAACACAAGGCTTGATTTCCCACGGCAGGTCTTGCATGACAGGTGTGTCCCTCCTCCGTTTGGTTCCTAACTGCAGGTTTGTGCGTTCTTCGTCAAGATACTTTGCATTGTCTTCTCGAGTCACCACTCGAAGTCTCTTCCGATTTCTTTAGACTTCTCAACATTGAATGGCACATTTCAGAGTCTTTACTGACATCCATCGTATTCTTCTATTTTTAATGACCTTCTGCTTTGCTCATGAATGATGTCCTCCCACAGCTGCTCTGGTGTTCTGTAATTAATGTCGGAAGCATCACCTATTGGGCCGTCTTTAAATTGAGCGGGTTAGATTTCTGTGGCCTTTTCTTCAGCTTCAGTGCATTTGCACGCGAGCAGTGGACGGTCTGTTCCACCGTTTGCCGCCGGCCTTGCTCTCCCTGCTGACCCTGAGCTTTTGATCATCTCCTTCCACAGATGGAGGAGTCTGGTGCCTGTGTTGTCCGTCGGCAAGCTCTGTGTGTATTGTTGCCATTCGGGTTTTAAAAGCATCTTCAGTGAATGGAAGCACCGCATGCACAGAGCTCCGTGACGCAGTCTCCAGCGTCTTCTCCATCACCAAAGCCCTGTTTCCCAGCGACTGGTCGTCTTTGTTTTTGACTTTTGCGTTGCACTCATCACTTAGCATCAGGGTATCTTCATGGCACGTTGGGTCAATTCCACACGGCAAAAGTCTGCTGAAGCCCTCAGTTTCTTGGCTTTAATGGTGGTGGGAACGTATATATTAGAAAAATAGTTGGATTACTAGTTCTTTCTTTTGTGTAGGGGATGTTTATATCAGAAGAAATCTAGATTGGTCAGGATGCAAATATACAGCACAGTTTAAATGAATGAATGGAAACCCCACCTTTCAGTAAACTTACACTAAAATTATAGTAATAATTGTTTTTTAAAAAATCTCAAAACCAAAACACCAAATCCAAACACCAACTTGGCATTGAAACAGTTCCAACTCATAGCAACCCTGTGATGGACCAGAGAACTACCCTTTACGTCTCCCAGGCCGGATGTTCACAGAAGCAGACAGGCACGTCTTTATCCCATGGAACAAGCTGGGTACCATCAAGTCGGAACCAACTCGTGGCTTACCCTCCAGGAGATTTTAAATCACACGGGAGATCTGCTAATCCTTCTTCCATGGAACAGCTGGTAGATTAGAACTGCTTATTTTAGGATTGGCAGCACGATTTCGTAACCACTAGGCCCCCAGCGTTTATGGCCCAGATGATGTGTTTTGTACTGGTGAGTTGGAACTGACTCAGCTGGCTCTCTGGGGGCGTTATTCTGGAGTAGCAGATTACATGCTCGGTGATTGCCCATCTTTCTCCTGTGCAGCAGCTGGTGGATTCGAACCTCTTGTCTTTGTGTTGGCAGTGCAGCTCCTTACCACCAGGCCGACAGTGTGGGTTCAAATCATTGACCTTGTGATTAGCAGGGGGTGCTTTATAGATTACACCGTCTGGTTCCCCTTAAGAACACCCAAGTGCACATTGTAGACACGGCTGGCCCCTCAGCTAGGTCTTGCTGGTGGCCATCAGAACTGGAAGACTGGCAGACAGTGTCACGGTATTCGGGGGTGACCCCACAGTGGGACACCGGCACTTCCGCAGGCATCCTGCCTCAAGGTTGATATGTTCTGTCAAGTTGATTATGACTCAGTGATCCCATGCTCAACAGCTCTGAGCCCGCCTTGCCATCTCGGACACACCTGTCCCCATTGCCACAGTCACTGTCAGTCCGTCTCCTCCAGGGTCTTCCTCTCCCGCCCCGTTGGGCCCCCACAAGGTCAGCAGTTGGAGCGGTTGTCCCACATCATGCCCATTGCTTCCCATCTCCTCTCCTTCGTCTGTGACTTGAAGCCGTTTTGACTCTTCCTTGTCATTCGGATCCTGCTGTCTCTTGTGTTTTTCCTTTGGTCGCCTGTAAGGGCCCCTTCTGCTTTTCCCGCATCCCTGCAGACGCTGGGGTGACGAGAGCCCCCAGAGCCGTCCATCCTGTTGTCCTGTTCCATAATGGTCAGTAGCTCATCTGTTTGGACGTTCCCTCCCAGGTTCATTTTCTGTGATCAGTGCTTAACGACTAAAACATGAATTGGGGAGTAGAGGAACACTCAAGTGCTTTATAAAGTAATCTTCCTGAAATGCACATCATTTAGAAGTAGGAGCCAATCATTGGGAAACTGAGATGATAATTGGGCCAAGTCTCACCAGGCAAAGACAAGCAGCAGGCGGGCTGGTTGTGAGTAGGCTGTTAACCAGGTCAGTTTTGAGTAGAGCTGCTGTGTAGAGCTTTTGGGGCTCTGACTTGGAAGCCGATTGCCACATCTTACCTCCAGGCTGCTTCTAGGTGCATCTTCAGCTTCTGCATTAACAGTCCAGCACTCCACCGTTTTTACCAACCCATCGTTGTTGAGTCCAAATAGAGTCTTGCTGACCCTCCAGCAAATTTTTAGAGGCTATCAATTTCTCCGAAGACTGCCCATCTTTCTCCAGGGAACAGCTGGTGCATTTGAATCACCAGAGGGGCCGTCTTGGGGTCGGCTGTACGGCTTTCTATGGTGCAGCATTCATAACACTTGTGTTTCCTCGTGTCAGAACCGACCGACCCTCCAGCTGGTTTTCAGAGGCAGTAAGTCACGAGGAACTTGACTATCCTTTTGTAGAGCAACTGGTGGATTCCAACCACAGGCCTTAGGGGTTGCAACACTGCTTCTTACCACTGAGCTAATTTCAATAAGATTCTCTCCCCTCCTCCACAGCCCTTCACAAAAATATGGGTGGGGGGGCAATGAAAGAAAATTGGAATAGATACATGAAATGGTAACATCTTTTGTTTTACAAAGCTGGAGTAATTAAAAATAAGGAAACCCTACACTTAACAAATTAGTAGACTTAGCTAAAATGTGATGCCTTATGTGTACTTGTTTTGAGATGTGAGAATACTCCTGCATAATACTTTATTAGGCATCAGAGTGTGTCAGCAAAGTCTTGAAAATACAATTTTGTCTATGAAGTCTATCTACATTATACTCAGAAATTACTGATAGTTTAACCAGAAACACTAATCATTTGAAAAGAAAAATAATTTGCACTGATACTAATATGCCTGAACAAAATATGTTATGTATAAAAACACTCAGGGCTTGGCAGAATCTAAAAATTAAAGCAAGATTGTGTATACTGCACTGAAACAGATGAGGGAGTGAATAATTTAAACGCGGTGTATGATAGGGAATTATGGTTATCACGAGTCCACAATTAAGGTTGCATTGTGGAATGTACTTGGGGCGG